ATGAAATTCCACACACTGTTGTATTTACCCTTATTTTTATAGGGAGATTAAATGTACAAGATTAACGTGTTAAAAGTCTTATTTAAGGAGCATGCTGGAAGGTACACTTTCATCGCTTTGGCTAGCTGGGTTTCCCACAGTTGCGAGTATTTATGCTAAGCTAAGCTAACCGTCTTTGCGTAGCTTCATAAATTAGGCAGTTTAGTTTAGCCGTAGTTTAGCTACAAACCACAAACAACAAAGGAACCTGCCTTGGCCTTATTCGGCCCAATGCTTTACAAAACCTGCAACCAGCACATGTAAATTTTCTTTGGCCGGGGGCCAGCTGAAAGTTTGTGTTCTATATCGGAAAAGTGTTTTAAAGAACAGATATCATGCAGCTTGTTTTTTTTAGTAAACGGCTTCTCACCCTGGTGCGCTGGTAGGACGGGTTAACCTGAGACGTCAGAGGAGACGGGAGGCTGAGGAGGAGGCGGACGGTCACGTTGGGCGAAAGCCTTCACGGCTCCCACTGGCTTTGGAGGGAATGATGAAACTGGAAGGAAAACGGTAAACACATTATTATAAAATGTAATCACAACACATGCGAAATCCACCAATATGTGTGTGTTGCTATCTGTGCAAATTGGATTTTGATAGGGAAAAAGAGATACAAATGTTATTTCCAAGGTCAACAATATAACTTTCACCACAGGGGGAACCTGTGTAAGAACATTAAACCCCAGTGTCAGTACAAATATAGAGAAATATGATCAGGTTACCAAAACAAACCCAGTCTCCGGATTTCGTGTTATTAGTCACGGAATTAATTTAATTATTGATTTCATGGCCACCGACACGATTTTCGTATTTTTTTTCGTGTCACAGAACATTTGAAAAGCAATGTATTTCTATTGGTAGTATGTTTCGTGCCTGCACCACGTCTTTTTGTCCGGTCGGGTCTTGGAATACCAGAAGCTGTGTGGTTCATAAAAACATTTTCTTACTCAATATCTTACCCTAAGCCTAAACCTATCCTTTATTTTAAATTGTATAATGTCCGAGTTTTTTTGCCGTCCACGAGGAAAAGAAATGGGGGGCCTCAGAATACTGATATCTGTATTCGTTGTCATCTTTTTTTCCCTTCTAATTTGTTATTATTTGGTGCAGGCACGAAACATACCAATAGAAATACATTGCTTCTAAAATCGTTCTGTGTCAGAATACTGAAATCTGTTAAATCTGTTTTTCCTTCCAATCTGTTATTATTTACTTTGCTTTTAAAATCGTTCTGTGTGACACGAAAAAAATGGCAAAATCGTGTTGGTGAACACGAATCAATAGATTCATTTTGTGACTATAACACGAAATGCCGTGAGACTGTGTTGCACAATAGGAAGGCAAGGCAAGTTTATTTGTACCTTTCACCACAAAGCAATTCAAAGTGCTTTCTAAAAGGAGGCACATAAGAGGCTCTTTATCAATATTTGAATGTAAAACACTTGTACTTGCCTCCGCCTGAAGCCAGAGGACTGTATGGTCTGGATACTGCGGCCTGAAACAGTGAAAATGAAGATAAAGCCAACTTCTTTTTATTTCTGTGCAATATATTTGCTTTTTTAAACCTATTCAACAGAATATACAAATCTAATACCATAACCATTTAAAAGGAGCCATTCTGCATTATGAAGACATTAACTTTTGATACATGAAATACATTTAGCTCATAATACATCCGTAGGCCTACTCAACATTTTAAAGCAGTATCCTATTCTACTCAGTAGTATATAAAGATGCAACAATTGTCTCCACGTTGACAAACTACAACACTACAACATACTTACATTCAGGTGTTAGTGATCAAAATAGAATACCATAACAATGTAAAATAATATTACACTGTCAAAAGGACCGTTCCACTTATGAATTCAGCGTGTTTTCAATACTATTTCCCATTTTTATATAAAAGAGATGGATGTTTTAGACGGCTAACCATTCTGGAGTTGTAGCTGTGATTCTTGACGGATAAACTCGTCACAGGGCAATAGATCCTCTTCTCCTTCTGACGCCGATTACAAAACCAAACTCGAACCACCTCCTTCTCCATGGACAGCTGCTCCGAGATCAGAGTTATCTCCTCTGAGTTTGGCTTAGGGTTCTGAAAATAAATTAAAAAGTTAAGCCTGTACATTTTTAAGGTAATCCATTCCTTGTCCTCTGCACAACGACAATACAGTTGAATCTAATCAAAGTCAAAGTTATTGTCAATCTTTCAGTTTGTGTGCAGACAGAGAGATCGAAATACCGTTTTCCACAATCCCGAATACAAAAAAACAAATATATATAAAAAATATGTATATCCTACATATACGCAATCAACAGACACATGTATACATATGCACACATTAAGATAAAAGCACAACATGTGTAATCTAATCAACAGAACAGTTTAACTTTTATTTTCCTAAACAACAAACGATATAACTTAGAAAGCCCTCACTATTGAGACTTGTTAAACTCTGATTCAGTCGTGAACTTACTTCACGGAAACGTTTCTCCAGAGTCATCTTGATGTTTGTTTCAATGCTTGTCCTTTTTTTCCGTTTGCGTCCGTACCCCTCGATCAGGGGCGGCAGAGAAGTGCTACTCATCGAGTCAGAAGGGGAGTTCTCTGGTGTGAACAGATCAATATACAACATAGACATCCATCGTCAACTTTGAACAACAATGCATGTCACAGTTGTATTTGTGATGCAGAACTACTATTAAAGTATTAATGACATTTCTTAATTGGCTTTTCACTCTAAATTATAGGCCAAGTTGTTTTTCAGCATTACATTTTTCTTATATAGACAATTTCATTGAGTTGTACGTTTGCTATCCTTTTTTTCTAGCCCCTCCAGAATAATCCCTGGTACATTAATAAAAAATGGTGGTCAGTGTGTTGTACCTGCATCACTCAGCCATTTCTCCAGCAGAGGTTTGAGCTTGCACATGTTTTTGAAGCTGAGGTTGAGAGCCTCGAAGCGAGAGATTGTGGTCTGACTGAAATCATTCCCGTACAGTTTTCCCATTGCAAGGCCCACATCTCCCTGTGAAAACACACACAAATGAAGTACATTTATCAACACTTTGTTCACCATGGAGTTAGGCAAGAACAATAATGTTGAAGTCTTTTTTTCAAGAGGTAACACGTGGTTTTTCCACTTGCAGTACTGACCTGTGTGAATCCCAGTTTGATGCGTCTTTGTTTGAATGCCTTAGCAAACAGCTCCAGCTCTTCCAGGTCGGAGGGTTCTTCCTGGGGGGGCACGGACATGTGTTTGGGCATCTGCAGGTGGGACATGTCCATGTGGTTCTCCATGGACGGCCCAGCCAGACCAGAGCGGCTCATTGCCTGGATCAGAGGGACATCACAGAAAAATGTGACACAAATTAGGGTTAACTGTCTTGTGGAAACATCTTCGTATCTGAAATACTTAACATTTACTTGGTCAGATGTTTGGATTGCTGTTATCTTTCTTACTATTTATTTACTTTAAACCTGAACTAACACATTCTGGCCACTAGATGGCAGCCGCAACGAGCTCAAAATATAACTGACAGCACATCCAGCAGTAACAGAGCTAGAGAGATCATTAGTGAGGCAGAGTTTGTGTCCATTTTATTCTTTTAGCTCTGTTTTTGGTCTCCACCAACTCCTGAGGTAAATATGTCTCTTTAGCTGCCAATGCTAGATTATGTTCAACATCTAGTCTCTGACTGTGTCTGATTTCTGCTGAGCAGTTATTGTACAGTAGGTCTTTAGGATTGTTTTTGCAGCTGCATCCATAGTGGATGAGAGTGAAGCAAAACAGTTGAGATGTGTGATACTGGTGCTGAGTGTGCCGACAGGAAGTATTCAGGATGTACCTGTGGAGTCAGAGCCAGTCCAGGCTGATGCTGGAGGAGATTTGTTTGACTCAGCAGGTTCTGCTGCAGAAGTGCTGCGAAGAAAAACAAGTTTTGATCAATTATTTGGTTTGTGAGTGCAATGCTCTTGGAAGCTATTGATGTTTGTCAAGAAATAGATCCAATATCTTCCACCAAAAGCACACTGTGTTTCTTTTTACTTTGGACATATGCAGACGTGTTGGGCGAATGGATATACTGTTGTCCGTCAATAGGGAATCCCCCTAAAATCACAAATCCTATTACTTTATTAGCTGTAAAGCAGACTTTATAAAACATTTATGCACAGGCCCTGCTTTCACCCCTGATCATATGCTAGGCGAACAATGTCCTTACTTCAGCTCTGTATTTAAAATCCAGACATATGATATCAGTTTTATGTAAACTCTTGGAAAGAAAGAAAATACATTTTGTAATAGTTTGCACTTATCCTAGAACACAGCCTATCTGCTAAAATGTCAATGTGTTATTTGTATACCTTGGTTATTATACAGGTGAAACAGACAATGAGTGATTCTAAGTAAGATGAGGGTAGCTGGTAGATTGTGTTGCCTTTGGACAGAATCAGACTAGCTGATTTACACAGTTTCCAGTCTTAATGTAAACATAAATGACCGGCTGCTGTCAGCAGATTTATATTGATATTTATCATACAAACATGAGAGTAGGTCTTCTCAAAAGAGTCTCTGCAAGAAGTCTGATTAAGAACATTTCCCCAAATGTTAGTCCCTCAAATGGCATCTCTCAAATTATTTTTTAAACTATAATTGAGGCTTAAATCCCTGAAAACAACTTAAAAAGCTGCACCTTGGTGGCTGGTGGGGCTCTGGGAGAGCAGGAAGGGGGAGGGGGAGGTCAGGTGAGACGGAGGCATCAGGACCAGCTGCTGCATGCTGTGGAGAGACGTGAGCTCCTGGAGGAGAGAGAAAAAACAAACAATAACAATATCAGTCCTGACTCACTGATGAATAAAGGCTACCTCCACAGTGTCTGTTTCATATGCACATGTTCAGTGTTGAGTTAGCAGTGACTGTTCTGCATTTAGGAAGTAACAGCACTTTAACGCCACGGTTTTATTAATTACTATATACAGGTCGTTATGTGTGGCTTCAATTTATTTAAACCTACATTTTGGATATTTGTGTGCATGTAGTAGCCAGACACACTTTCCATAAAGTCAATAGCATATTTTAATGAGATGCTATTATCTCTTTAAATCCTCTCTAACAGCCATTTACCACCATAATCCCTTACAAAGCAAGTGTATCCTCATGGTTTGTTAACTAATCCCTTAGCTAATGTAAAGCTTAATTAAACAAGCTTTCTACAACAAGAGCACTATGGAGGGAGGTGGGGGGAAGCTGGAATGAATGACTTGGCTTTGTGCACTGCCAAGAAATTATGAAATCATTTAACCCTCCTATTGTCTTTGTTCCCCCCTTACTTTGGTGTTCGCGGTCAAATTTGACCGGTCCTGTTTTAACTGCTATTACATTAACACAAAAACCATGAATCATCACCAAATGTCATTTAACACCCTTTCAAACTGTACATATTGTATCAGACTACTGGTATACATGAAAAACTGCTGTAAATATACAAAGAATAGACACTGAACATGTATTGCGTGTGCCAGGTGTGATCCATGTGGGGGGATGGGCACATAAGAGCGGGAAATGTGTCAAATTGTTCTGTGTGTGTGTGTGTGTGTGTGTGTTTTTTTTATCTGATCCGGATGGTTACTAATTGCTTTTCTTTATGGCGGTCATTTTTGACCGGGAACACCATGGTGGTACAAAGTTGACTAAATCATCCACAATTCAATGAAAGTGGTGATCAGCAATTGTATATGTTCAAATGTCTACTGTGAAGGATATCATAAGGCCTTAATGCAATCCAATGTAAAACAAAAAAGTTATGATGGATGAAAGTAGAAAATTGATCAGATTTGACCCGAAGACAACAGGAGGGTTAAAAGTATAATAACAATGAATTGACTTATTAAAATATGAACCCTCTCGGTGTGTTTAGTGTATATGCAGAGACCCTGCAGCCAATCAGAGCTTTGTTTGTCTACAGCAGTAAAGGACGTGATGCAAAAAATGGAGGCATAATGTGTACTTCTAATCTTGATACTTGCATGATAATAATATTGCTTTAAAAAAACAACAGACCCCAGGCAGCTGACCTCCAGCAGAGCTCTGCGGCAGGTGGCATGTCTTGAGTGCGGCGACTGAGTGAGGCGAGTCGATGATCTGCTCTGTTTTTATCTAAAACACCGAAAGCACAACCAAAACGGTATTAACTTTTATAAATAATAAGGCTGGAGAACATTGTCCGTAAATAATCTCTAAACTGTATTAACTCTGGTTTCTCGAGAGTAGCTTAAATCATAACCAGGATGGGAAACATTGTCTGTGTATAATCCCAGGGGGAAATGACTGCATGTTGACGTGTGTGTGTGTGTGTGTGTGTGTGTGTGTGAAGAGAAACACACACTCCAGGACCAGTTTGGTCACTCAACATGATACAAAGAGTGATAGACGCTCTCTCTACCCTTGGGCAAGCCAGTATGCAAATAACCCTCCCCTCTCCCCCCCCCCCCCCCTCTCTCTTGCACCACCCACCCCCGAAAGCCATGCCACTTCCTGAAAACACGCACTGAAATAATTGTCCATACTCTCGCCAAAAACGCTGTTTGGATAAGTATCCAAACAGCTGCAAACTATTTGAGATGTTTCTAAAGAGCGGGTAGTTTGTCCCCAGGATGTTAGCTGCGTTGCAGTCCGTTGAGCATTGTGTCCCAGGTACAATGGCTCTCAGCTATTTGTGTTCCTTACTACGGGTACAAAAAGTCATGTTATTACCTTTTAAATATGTTCTGAGGTTTGACAAAGAACATGAATACACTTCTTTCTTTCAAGGATTGTCTGTGTATCCAAAGGCTGATATCAAATTACCCTGTGTGCCATAGAGCTTTGTTTCTTTCCTCAAACATAAAACAAAACCAGACACTTCAACTCAATCCCACTGAAACCTTTCTTCCATCCTGGTCTCTTACAACATTATAACATTTCCATACAATAACACTTGATTGTGAATTACTCTCTGAGGAAATGGTCACCTGGATTACGTTTGTTTTTGACTTTTTTTGACAAATATCTTTTTATCAGTCCAGGTAAACGCTCTCACCCTTTGTGTCTCAAGTGAAACCAAAATTCTATTTTTACTATTGGAAATGTACATTATATTACATGTTACTTGTTGTACGCTTTGATCCAAAGCAACTTACATACTCAATACTGTGGGCAATCCCCACAAGAGCAATTTGGGGTGAAGTGTCTCAGAGACACAACGACATGCTGACTGCAGTGGGGTTTGAACCTGTGACCCCCTGATCCCAACACCTACACACAAGTCCACTGCGCCACACGCCTCCATGCACGTTGATAATCTAACAAACATACTGTGGCCAAACCACAAAATTGTACTCTACACTCAACTACATTCTTAACTTAACTTTTTACTGGCAGTTTGAGTTATCTAAGGAACACAATGAAGTTACTTTAATGAAAGTGTGAAACCTTGAAACATTTCCACCCGCTGAGCTCCATGCAAACATGACTGTGTCTGAGCAGGGGAAGGGTTTCGCATCATGTTCAAAACCAAATCCTCCAGGTGACAGAGACCTCATTCATCAAATCCTTATTCGTAGGAATTTGGTCACTTTATTTAAAACTTTACTCACGTGTCGATTGAAGCCGATTCCGTTTTGCTCTAAATGTCAGAAAGGAGGGAAAGAGGTTCAGGTTATAAAATGTCACTCTGTTGCTCATAAGGACTTCAAGTTCATATTAGGTCTGTTTGTGTTCAATGTTGACGAGGGTAAATTAGACACGTGAGACATTCAGTGTCAACAGATTACATTTGATTCTTTTTTTTTTTTTATACATGGCTGCATTTACATTATTGCCACACACACACACACACACACACACACACACACACACACACACACACACACACACACACACACACACACAACGTTTTTCCTGAAAAAGTTAAGTTAACTTTTTGGCTTTTATGTTGTTTAATTTGATCTATATTTGAACCCAAGGGATATCATGTTGCAGCCAACGCATCTTATTTCTAACATGATTCAGAGTTATAGCATTACAAATAAGATATACAATTCTAATTTGATTAAATTGTCAAAACCATAAATCATAACACCTTGATACAACAACAACAACTGAATAAAAACACATTAAAAATGGAATAATAACAAAAACAAAACAAAACTGTGACTAGAAACGTGTCAACTAAAGAATAGGACCATACTGTGGTATAAAACATTCATATATGCAAGTATAGTGTGCTGGATGCTGTCTCTCTTATCAGAGTTTTGTGCTGAATATGGCCACAAGTATTAATATATATATATAGATAATTTATTAAAAACAACAAAGTAAGTTCAGTTTCATCTCTATCTTGGTTTATTGTTTTGCTTTTTGGCAAATATACTATATATATAATACGAGCATAGGTATGCAACCATAACTTATAAAGCATAATAAAATAAATAATTGAAAGTGAGGTAATATCCCAATTTCATTATTTTTAAACACGCAGAGCCTGGTAAGTAATGTATTAGGTGTTTCATATACACACGTGAAGGTTTGTAAAAAGGAAAATAAATATTCTGCAAGCATGCAGCATATTAACTGCAGTTGCTGCGGACTTCTTACGTAAATAACAAACGTTTAAAAGTCTTTGTGTGCAGCAGCAGTGCAGAGAGTCCGACAGAGGAGGGGAGTTTAAAGGTGTGCTGGATAAGCTTGCATCATTTGAATGTCAAATTGGGCCATATGGACTCTGTGTGTGTGTGTGTGTGTGTGTGTGTGTGTGTGTGTGTGTGTGTGTGTGTGTGTGTGTGTGTGACAGAGGCTGCTCGAGAGACACACAATGCAAATACACCTATAAACACCCCCA